CTCCATACACCAGCGCTGAAAAGCTGTCCACTTTGATGTGTACAGCACTGTGGTTGATGCAGCACGTGAATCTTGGATTATGCGCACTACATCTTGCGGGAGACCCATCCTCTCTAAGCAGATCCGCTCAGCGGCCAGACCCACAGGTGCTGGCCTATTTCTGGGTAACTCCTGATCGCTCCTCCCACCTAGAGGAGAGCGTCCTCCCTCCACGGCAGTTTCCATGGGCGCCCCGATAACAGGCGTCGTAGAACCGGGAACCATGGCGCGTTCACGCGATCGGGAGCCACCAGGAGAGCAGTCAATCCCTCCTCCTGAATTCTGTTCAAAAACCTTAATATCAGAGGAGGTGGGGGGAACACGTAAAGAAGCGTTTTGGGCCATGGGCTGTGAGCAAACGCGTCCACCCCCAGCGGTGGTTCATCTCGCAGGCTCAGTGAAAACCATAGTTGACACTGAGCGTTTTCTCGTTTCGCAAACAGGTCCACAGTGGCTTTGCCAAATTTCTGCCACGTCTGGGCCATCAAATCGGGGTGGAGAGTCCAGTCCCTGTGACACGGACCGCCCCTGGACATGACATCTGCCCCTTTGTTCAGAACACCGGGGATGTACACTGCTCGGATGGAGAGCAGATTTTGGTGCGCCTGTAGTGAACAGTTCACTACACGCCCAACACAGTAGTTTTCTCGTAATGTGTAACATTTGGGCTGAGCGCACACCCCCCTGCCGGTTATGTAAGTAGCAGTCACCTTGTTGTCTGTGTGAATCAAAACATGTTGATTCTGTAGCACAGGAGCAAAGTGTTGAATCACATTCAGAACCGTGCGACATTCCAGAACGTTTATATGAGCTGTTGTGTGAGGTGGCCACAGCGCCCCTACAGCTCGAGATAGGCATGTCTCCCCCCCCCAACCTGACAGCGACGCATCTGTGAAGACTGACACGTGGGACGTAGGTCTGCTGACAGGGACTCCCTCTGACAGAACCAGGGAGTTTTCCCAGTGTCGGAGGTCTGTTCTCACGGAGGGAGGAACAGTGATCATCCGTCTCTTTTGCTTTACCAGATCCACGTGCAGACGGGCAAAACATCTCTGGAGGAGTCGCATGTGAAGTAAGCCCAGCGGGACCACTGTGTGAGCTGACAACATCGTTCCTAACAGCTTCATGATAGAAATAGCTGTTACTACTTTGCCAGGTCTTACGTGGTGGAGCTGGACTCAGAGTGTCGATTCTCGTCTTTGATAAACGAGTCCTCATGGTGGTCGAGTTTAGCTCCACTCCCAGATAAACAATCGTCTGGGCTGGGAGAATCGAGCTTTTTTCCCAATTTATGGCGAAGCCCAGATTTAGCAGGTGTGACGTCAGCACCTGAGTCTGCGCCGCTGCTTCCCGTCTGGAGTGTAACAGCAACCGCAGGTCATCTAGGTAAAACAAAACTCTCATCCCTGCTCTGTGTAATGGTTGCAGGGCCGTCTCCACACACTCTGAGAACGTACGAGGTGCGAGGGAATAACCGAACTGCAGCCTGTTGTACTGATACTGCATCCCTTGAAAGGAGAAGTGCAGAAATTTTCTGTGCTTTGGGATGATCGGTATGTGGAAGTAGGCATCTTCCAGATTGATGGATACAAACCAATTGTTTCTCTGTAAGTTGTCCAACAGTTGTCTGGTTGTCAACATGTGAAACGGTCTGTCCACGATCGCCTTGTTGAAAACTGACAGGTCCAAAATAGGTCTCATTCCTCAGGTCCGTTTTGGAACCAGAAAGTAAATGGGAGTAAAAACCTGTATTTTCATCTCCATCGGGAACTCTGGAAATGACCTCTTTTACCATAAGTTCCTGGACTTCTGCATTTAGGGATGAGACCTGGTCTGGTAATGACAGAACCGTCTCTGAAACTCCTCCGAACGGAGGGGGTCGAGCTGCGAATTGTAGCGTATAACCCTTGTTTATCAGCTTGCTCATCCATCTGTCTGGCGAGCATGTTCGCTGCCACTCCGCGTGACGTTCGTGGAGTGGGCGTGCGTTTAGGTGGTGCGTCATGTTTCTTATGGACGTCAGCCAGTCTACAGCCTCGACCGCCGTCATGCTCCGTGGAAGTGTGTTCCGCGTGACCCAAGGTGAGGCTTTCTCGAAAGGGCTCAGAGCGCGCCTCTGTGCCACGCTAAGGCTGTGGGTTCACATTCATGTCGATGTGAACCACCGTGTGTTGAGAAGAGGCGTGTGCACCATCATCCACGCAGCGCTGTTTGGGTGAAAGCTGCCGGCACCGCGGGAGCGAGCGTTTGACACCGCTGCGGTGAGACGCGTGCCGCTCCTGCTGAGAGCGAGGTTTCTCACTGGACTCGTTCTGCGGTCTCACATTTATGCTGATGCAAGCCGACAAGCGCCGGGGAGCGGTGTGCGCACCTTCATCAACGCAGCGCCGTTTGGGTGAAGGCTGTCGGCGCCGCGGGAGTGCGCGTTTGACACCGCTGCGGTGAGACATGTGCCGCTCCTGCTGAGAGTGAGGTTCTCACTGGACTCGTTCTGCGGTCTCACATTTATGCTGATGCGAGCCGGCAAGCGCTGGAGAGCGGTGTGCGCGCCTTCATCAACGCAGCGCCATTTGAGTGAAGGCTGCTGGCGTCGCGTGAGCGCGCGTTTGACACTGCTGCGGTGAGAAGCATGCAGCTCGGGCTGAAAACAAGTTATTCCACTGGACTCGTTCTGCGGACCACATTCGCTTTCGACTGTTGTGTCATGCAAGCGTCTCGTGTTTATTTTGGAGCTGCGGTGATTCTGAAAAACCTTTTTTAAGGCCACCGGCTCGTTTTGTGTGGAGGATGTGTGAGGAGCCGCTGTGAGGTCATCCGAGCTGACAGACGGGCTAAAATCAGACACTTTAATCTTTGAATGATGTTTTATTTCAAAGCTCGTGTCATCATTACACACATCCTCCGCAAACTGTCATTTTGAATCTTCTCCCATCTTCTCCCCCATGAGCTCTGCAGTTTGTTGTCCCAGGGCGCCGCCTGTTGGCGATCTCAGGGAAAACGCTGAACTGCCGGTTGCCGGGATGAGAAGGACTGATGTCTGACGGGCGGGGCTGGCGGCGTAGTGGAGCGGGGAGACGCTGCTGCAGCTGTGGAATGTCATTGTTGTTGTCTTTGCCTACGACGATCCTTCCAGCGGGCCGGGGGTGGGATGAGGCGTGCGGCTTGATGAGATGGCGCGCAGTCTCTGACACCTCCTCTGACTTTTTCAAGTTTTCCAGCATGGCCTTGAAATTGGTCCCGAACAGCATGTCCATCGCTGATGGGGCCCTCCAACAAAAAGCCTTCTGCAGCTCCGTCACTCCCCCTCCGATAGGGAGGGGGAGTGACGAGCCAGGTGGACCTCTGGAAAACCTCGTCCTCCGGACTGTGATGCGAGACCGGCAGACAGCAGAAGAGGTGCACAGGTTGAGAATGACATCAGCTGCCTTGCGGAGGGAGCTCTATGTCTCCTCCAGCCTCTTGAAATGCTGTACGCAAGCAGCGTAACATATTGTTTGCAGCAGCCGCCTGGAACGCACACTGGTGAGCTCGGTTGGAGAGTGACGTCACCATCTGGTCATGCTTACCCGGAGGCGCAGGACGCTGGTCCAACCTGGACATCTTTGCTCCGAAAGCCTCCGCCAGGCTCGGCTCCAGTGGGGCACCGAGGGAATTTCCGCTCGGTGAAACCCCTCCACTCTGGTGATGGGTGCGAATGTGGGAACCGGCGCTCTCAGTCTACCAGAACTGGCTGCGGCCTCGTTCCAGCAGGACGTCACTGCTGGGAAAACGAGGCCAGATGGGATCAAGACAGCGAGCCGGGGTGGAGCCCAGAAACCTTCCCGCTAGATCATCCGATCTGGACGGGGGAAGGAGAGGGACGGAAAAAAAAAAGTCCCTTCATGTCAGCCATCTCCTGGATTATGCCGGGCAGCTCCAGAGGAGGGCACCGACGGCTGGGAGCAGTGTGGTCGCCAATGCGATAAAGGTCCGGGGGGGTTGAGCATTTGCTCAGCCCCCTCGTTCCGACACTATGCTCTCCAGGAGGGAGTGAGCAGCGGGGGCTGCTGCTGACGTCGCCTGTCCCGGAGGAGCCATCCGATTCGCTCCAAGAGTCGGCGATAAAAGGAAAATTACAAGATGGCATCGTTCAGCATGTAGCGACCCGCCACTGAGAAATATTCCTCAGCGTTTACCTTGAAACAAGACTGCTCATCTGCTTCTCCTCAGGGAGGAAAACTCACCGGGGCGGCAGGATTTTGGCATGGCAGGGCCACAAGCAGCCTTAACAAAGGTTGAGCTGGACAACTTCCCTTCTTCGTTCTTCTGACAGTGCTATTAGCTTGCTAAAGAAAAATGGGAGCCAATTACCCGCTCTTAACGTAATTTATACGGACCGGGTGGGGCCCACACAAGAGGTGGGCATGGACTAAATTTTTCAGTGCGATGCTTTGCATGACGGGATAAACCCACTAAGCGACAGCTCTTAAAGGGCGAAGCCTATACGAAATAGAACTGTAAACAGCAAACAGCCTGTGGCTGTATCTCTGTCTCTCTCTCCCCCCCTCTAAAACTGTCAGTATAAACAGGGTGCTGCACAGCTCAGGATGTGTCTCCATCCGTCCCCCTTCCACCCTCCTGACAAAAATCACGGATGAGATGAGCGCCCCACCATGACAAGTTATGGGAACGCCTCGGGTTCCCCTAAAATGAGCTGAAAGGTGTCATTGGGTAAAGGGATGTCTGGGTTTTTGTCCTGGACCTGTTGCCTCTGTGACCCAATAAGTGGTAGAAGATGGATGGATGAATATGTTCAGTTTTATGAGATATTTTGCCAACAGACAAACAAGCAGAAAGGTGCATGCAAAAACATTTTTGTATGTTTGACAGCCATCTGCTCGACTTACAGTAACCTTTATTTATGATTAGCTGCATGTTGGACAAGTCCTGACTGGTCTGCTCATGTCTCCCTCCTTCTTTAGGTTGGTCTTCCTGAGACGGTGGCAAAGCGTTGCGTGCATCAAGTAGCCATTGCTCTGGACTATCTGCACTGTAAGAAGCTGGTTCATCGGGACATCAAGCCAGAAAACATTCTCATCTTTGACAGAGAGTGCCGCAAAGTCAAGCTGTCTGACTTTGGCATGACTCGTCGAGCTGGCTCGCCTGTCAAAAGAGTGAGTAATTTTTTTTACTTTTTAACTCCTGACAGTGTCTTTTTGTCCTCGCCTTTGTTAATCTGTTGAGGTTTCCCACCTAGGTGAGTGGCACCATCCCCTACACAGCCCCAGAGCTCTGCGACGTGTCCCGCCATGAAGGATTCTGCGTGGACTATAGCACTGACGTTTGGGCGTTCGGTGTACTGCTCTTCTGCATGCTGACGGGGAACTTCCCCTGGGAGAAGGCGCTCCCCTCCGACTCCTTCTATCAAGAGTTCGTCCACTGGCAGAGGAGAAGGACGAACACGGTGCCGTCACAGTGGAGGCGCTTCACCGAACAGGCCCTCCGCATGTTCCGCCGGTTGCTCTCGGTCGAGCAGGACCGCCGCTGCTCTGTGAAAGAGGTGTTCGGCTACTTCAGCCACTCCTGGATGCTGGACGCAGAGAACGATAACAACGGTAACACAGCAGGAGCAGGCGGTGGAAGGGAGATGGTCGGCAGCAGTAGCAGCGAAGGAGGAAGAGGGAACGCACAAGGAGATATGGAGGGCACCAGCTCGGTGTCTTCATCTGGTGAGGAAGACGAAGAGCTCCTGGTGGAGAGGATGAAGCAGCAGACTCTGTCACCTCGCTCCCCTCTGTCGCCCCTGTCCCCCATGGCAGTGGAGAGGGGCAGCGGTGGAGCCAAAGGAGGCTTGATCGAACCAGGCGGCGGGCACCATTTTGTTTCCGTCTCCACTAACAGCTCCGTGTCATCCACCAACAGCTACGACAGGGTGCCGCGAGAAAACGGTTCCCCAGGGAGCCGCATGCTGGTGGCCACGCCCATAGAAATCTGCGTCTGAGCATGACTCATCACTTTTATACCTCTCATCCAACCACAGAGATGTGCATGCACTGAAAAAAAAGTTAAAGTACTAACAAACGTCTTGGACAGGAAGAGCGTCAGAGGACGGTTTTGTGGAACGCACACATTCTTCGATCTCCTGAGAAGACAACAAAAGCACGGCCTAATGATGAGTCGGTGACTGTTTCAAATGTGTAGCGACGGTGAAAATGATCATCCATTACAGTGCGTCACTAAAAGCTTGGGAAAAAGAAAACCAAAATGCATTTCTGAAAGCAATACTTGCAGCAAAAAAAGAAAAAACAAGGAGAAAAAAAGAGTCAGAATGATGTGATTTCATCTTTTTTTATTTCTTTTTTTGGATGAAGACTGAAAAGCAGCCATGTTTAACGTGACGCGGTGGTTTCAGGTGTAGGAAAAATGTGTTGGTGTTTGTGTGTGACCCTAACAGACGTGGATTTATTTTGCTTTGAGAGTTGTGTTATTTATTCAGATTTAAAAATACTAGAAAATCTATTTTTTTAAAGTAACTTTTTTGTTTGTTTGTTTTCCATTTTAGTAAAGGTTGTAAAAATAGTATCCAGACTTATCAGTGGATCTTCTTGTACGTGATGTGAGGTGTTTGATGGACTCCAGACGGAAGAATGGACCTGTTTATGTCTGACGTCTCTCTGCTTTTTTATAAATATATTCACTCCTTTGTATAGCTTTTTATTTAAAGATTTTATTTATTTCAAATCTGTCTACACATTTGGTTTTCATTGTATTTTTCTTTTTACCCCCAAACTTTTAGCAAATGCTCTGAAAAATCTAAATGATCTCGATGTAAAACGGAGATAACAGCATGAGTAGCTCACCCCCAAGTCCCAAAAAAATGTTAAAATACTTAAAGAATATAAAGTGTGTCTTGCTGCCACCCCAGCAAAAACAAAACAACTGCAACACATTATAACGTAAAATACATATAGTCTCTTTATTTAAACCATACTTCACATTATTACAGCATACAAACTTCAATTGTAGGAAAAAACAATTAATGTTGCAACATACATTAATTTATTCTTTATAAGAACATGAAGAGACTTGGTAATAAATTATAAAGTGTTATGAAGTGAAAATATTACATGAAAATATCACCCTTCACTGTAAAAAGTTAGTTTTTATTGAGCTATAGTTGTTTATTTTTTGCCAGGGCGACAGCAACACGCTTGTTTTAAAAAACGGTAAAGGTTTTGACTTTATTTCCTTGTTTGTGTGGTTTCCATGAGTGAAAACAAACAGAAATGTCTCGACGTCTGGAGGACTTCTGGGGCTAAAAAAAATCTAATTAAGTATTTTTCTTCTTGTGTGATGTGTTTGTATTAATATTGTGACATACCTCACCCCCTTCAACAACAACAACAACAATACTAAATCGAGCACGAGGACGCGTGCTTTACTTTTTATCACAGCTGGGGAATTTATTGATATATTAAAGAGATATTTCAGCCATTTTGAAGTGGGTTCTCAGCAAATGTTATGAACATTTAATATCCTCCCTGTTGCAGACAGCTCTTTATATTGGAGAAAAATATTTTTACATCTGACAGCACTGAGAAGCTAATGGCTAGTCAGAATGCAACCAAGACCCAAGTGGACTACTGCCGTTTTAAAGCGGCTCCAATTCCTGAATTTTTTTATTTTTTAACAAACCTATACGATGTTATCGATTTTTCATTACAGGTATATTCACATATAATTCTGGGGTTATTTAAAAGTGCAAGCAGCAGCAGCACCTAGCTAGTAACATTTCCTGCACTGCCTGCAGATACTTCCTGTAGGAATATCATGATATTTTTGCTGCTAACGCCATTAGCTCTGGAGCTAGTAGCATTACTTTCAGGGCTAATACATATCATATGGCATTAGCTCATGAGCTAACCCTTCCCAATCTCTTGCAATATTCTTAACAATGTTTTAAACTCTACACTCTAAGAGAGCACAGCGAAAGAGAGCAGACAGACTAAGTCTACGGTTACTGAGATAATCGGACAGGCCATCGGTAGCACCGGGACATTTCCCAGTGACCTGGCCCGCCCAGTGATTGCCAAGGGGTACTAAAGATTCGGTTTGGGTTGCGCTTGATTATTTTAAATAAGCAATCCATGCTGCTCGTGTTGCTCACTCGGGTATAAGACAGTTTCCGTGAGCATTCACATGCTGAAGTGTCCCTGGGCAAGACACTGAACCCCCCATTGCCTCTGATGTGTGTCCCATCGGTGCATGAATGTGATAAAGCACTGATTATTCTTTGTAAAGATCTAGTAGAGTGCTGTATGAATGGGTAAATAAGGGCACAGATTGTAATGTAAAGCAATTTGAGTATCTTGATAAGACAGAAAGATGCCATGCAAGTACAGTCCATTTACTCCCCTGCCCCCTCCTTTCTTTTTCTGAGGCAGCCTCAGAAGTAGAAAGGAGGGGGGGGGGGTTCTGTCTTCTACCTGAGTGAGCCGCACTCAGCCATTCTCTCTCTTTTTGTAAACTGATTCACTCTTATTTTTCCACCTAAGCATTTTCTCTGATATTCTACATTTGTTCATCTGATCTGTCCATCCCTGCACCCTTAGCAGTAGCGATGGGGAAAGACAGACCCCACCCCCGCTCCCTCCTTTCTCTTTCTGAGGTGCTCTGTCACAGCAGAGAAAGAGAAAGGAGGGGGCTGGGGTGGGGTCTGACTTTCCCTATCACCAATCATGGGTCGTGTACAATCTTACGTTGAAAACCTGTGAGAGAGTGAGTCCGCGAAAGTCGAACCGCAAAGTATCGAGGGACTACTGTATATGGCATTTGCTTCAGAGTTAATATAAATAACAGGTTAGCTCCAGAGTTAATAAGTTAAATATCACAAGTTAATCATGTTTGAGCGTTTCGGCCCGTATGTTGTGCATAAGGACTAAAACAAAACATAACTTTATTGCCACGCTATAACTCTTTAGCCTCAACTTCCTGAGTTTTAGTCTCCACTATATCCAATACGTCTTCGCCCCAGAATGCATTGCGCTAATAAAATAATGGCGATGTCCTTAGGGAAAAATGTGATAAACTTATATAAATTTTAAGTATCGTAATTGGGAGTTTTCACGCGTCACTATGTGCAGTAAGTTCTCCCAGCTGATGATGTTCAAACTGCTAACTTCTAGATATTAATAGTTCATCAGTTTTCCACTAAACCCCTTCAGAATGGCCAAAATATCAACTTATAGAAGTGTCTTGATTTTTTTTAACCTAGTTCAAACAGTGATTAGAAAATAAGCCATTTATTGCTGCCTCTTCACGATTCTGGTAGAAATAATGGAGAACAGATGTAGGGTCGTGTACAGGAATGGCTGCTTCTGTCCAGACATATTCTGCATGAAAATGTGTTTGTGCTAACAAGCTTTGTTGTGAAGCTCGGTGTTTCCCACTCTACAAACTCTAGTTCTCTGTTGTAGAATAGCAGCAAACGTTTCTTTATCTTGTGAGAGTCCGTGGCCTCAGCATGGATCTAACGGCCTGAGGAACAGCTAAGCCCCCCACCCCCTACATTCATGAGTGCAAATGACTCCATCTTGTGACAATCTCTGACCTCATGGGTCTGACTCAGAACAAAGGACCATCCTGGTACGGATCCTGCTGTAGGTCTCCGGTACATGAGCTCATCGTGTGGCCCCTCCACTGCAGGACCCGAGTGGGTCAGTGCCGCTCGGACATCTCATCCATAACGTGACGTGTTGTAACGGAGCTCCATTGTCTTTCTGTTTGGTGACAAAGTTCAAAGCATCAGAAGTTTAGTGGAGTTTTAGTGAGTAGACGGCTGCACCAGAACTTGTTCCCAGTTTTGTCTTTGCAAAACAACCGTCTTCCTGTAAACTGACGTTTAGTCAATAAAAAGAAAATCCACGTGTCTGTAGCCCGATGATTGATTCTTACGACAGATGCACCATCATGTTTACACACATTTACTGTTGTTACTGTCGCTTAACTGGAGTTAGTAGGAGAGATCATATTTCTCCAGTTTTAGCTTCTCTCCAGTGGCTCCCTGTCAAATTCATAATAGAATTCAAAATCTTACTTCTAACATACAAAGCTCTCAACAACCTAGCTCCATCTTATATTTGAGATCTTATTGTTCCATATTTTCCTAACAGAGCACTTTGCTGTCAAACTGCAGGTTTACTTGTGGTTCCTAGAGTTTCCAAAAGCAGAATGGGAGGAAGATCTTTCAGTTATCAGGCTCCTCTCTTGTGAAACCAACTTCCAGTTTCTGTCAGTGAGGCTGACACATTGTCCAGTTTTAAGACTGAGTTTTCATTTGTTACTTTTTCTATCTTAACATGTGATTCTTGATCTGCTGGTGAAGATTCTCAGTCATCCAGGACATGATAAATTCAAAAAAACGTTCAATACAAAAACAACTGGACTTTATTTGTAACAGAAGGCGTTTCACTCCTCATCCGAGGAGCTTTCTCAATTCAAAGAGCAGTGAGTGAGGGGTTCAGCTTATAGGGCTGAGTGAGATAAAATACACATACATATGTAGATTAGACAATTCAATTCAGTTTATTTATATAGCACCAAATCACAACAAGGTTGTCTCAGGGCACTTTACAGAAACATTCACATAAAAGACAATTAGTAAAGTTCTGTATCTAAGGAATCCAGCAAACAAGATGAATCTTGGCTTCATTGCAGTCTCCCATCCTGAGCAAGCACAGTGGCAACAGTGGAAAGGAAAAACTAACTTTTAAAAGGAAGAAACCTCCAGCAGAACCAGGCTCAGGACAAGTGGCCATCTGCTTTGACCGACTGGTTGAGAGGACAGGAAGGAGAGACAGACAAACACAGAATGGTAGGTCCAGGTGTATCTGAAAGACAAAAAAAAAAAAAAAAAACACATGTTAAGGATAGAAAAAATAATTACAAATACAAAACAGGTTGAGCAGAGTAAGTAAAAACAGAAGTAGAGTGAAAATTGTGGTCAGTTTGTCCTCCAGCAGTCTAAGCCTATAGCAGCATAACTAAGGGACAGCTCAGGAAACCCAAGCCGACCCTAACTATAGGATTTAGCAAAAAGGAAAGTCTTAAGCCTAGTTTTAAAACTGGATAATGTGTCAGCCTCACGGACAGAGATTGGAAGTTGGTTCCACAAGAGAGGAGCCTGATAACTGAAGGATCTGCCTCCCATTCTGGTTTTGTAAATTCTAGGAACCACAAGGAAACCTGCAGCCTGAGAGCGAAGTGCTCTGTTGGGAAAATATGGAACAATAAGATCTGTAATATAAGATGGAGCTAGGTTGTTGAGAGCTTTGTAGGTTAGAAGTAAGATTTTTCTATTCAGGATTTGACAGGGAGCCAATGGAGAGAAGCTAAAACTGGAGAAATATGATCTCTCCTACTAACTCCAGTTAAGACTCTGGCAGCAGCATTTTGGATCAACTGAAGATGTTTTAAGGAAGTATTTGGACATCCAGATAAT